AGCACCATTTAAGTCCTATAGATGTGCGTAGAGAAGAATCCATGAGGGTGATTAATTGATAAGTTCGTTGTAGTTATAAGGCTAGCAATCTTGGAATCAACTCAAACTTAAGATGGCTGAATGCCAGGTTGATGTCTAAACATCTAAAGCCAACTCTTTTAGATCACCAACAAAAGACTAATTCGTCTATACTCTTCTATTTCTAGTTTCCTTTGTTTACCCTTTCCTTTTCTACTGAACACCTATATCCATTTTAGATTTTCAGTTGATTAACTGCTTGCATTAGTATTCCGCAGGGCTGAAGACATTACAGCTAAATCATCTGACAGCAGAGAACCAGACATAAATGAGCTTTCATTCACAGAGTTAAGAGATAAACTGCTTGCTCTTGATCCCCTCAACAAAGACCATGTCATAAAGGTAAACCAAGTAGAAGCTGACTTCTGGAAGAAATCAGAGGGATATAGAGTAGGATGGAGCGATGAAATCTTGGGCTTTGATTGTGGTGGGCAACAGTGGGTATCAGAGATCTGTTTTCCTGCAGGAACTCTTTCCAAGCCATCAATTAAAGATCTTGAATACATAGAAGATTTGAAGCAACTTATTGAGAAGGAAGATGTTCCTGCCCCTGCTCCTATAGAACAGCGCTGGACAGCGCGTAGTCAGAGCCTTATGAGTCCAGCTTCAAGCTCAGTAGAGGATGACATATTCTCATGGGTAAGTTTATTGTTCCTTTCATTTCATTTTTTTTTTTCATAGACTGTCCTTTATATTATCTTCCTTGATTTTACGAAATGATAGAGGAGGCTGTGTTAGGGACTTAGGCATTTTCCCTATTTTTTTTGTTTTGAAACTCAAGTTGAGCTGGCCTGAGGTTTTTAGTTTAGTTTCAGGAATTCACATCTCCTTTTGATCCTGAGGTTTTTCTGTTATTTATTTATTTATTGTTAAACTCATTAATGATGCCATTTCTAGAAGATAAATTTTTAGATTAATTCTAGGGCATGTCTAATCAAACCTGGCTGTGAACTTCCAATTCAGGCTCTTCTTTTTTTTCCTTTGTATCCAACCTTTATATTTGCTTACTTGTTTCATATCATATGCTGCTTGGCCTAGTCCTCTTCCTGCATATTCATCACTTGAGTTAGGCACAAGAATCAAGTGTTTGTTCAATAGCAAGTAGCAAACCAACACTAAAAACAAATCTTGGATGTTTTGCTTGGAGCTATCGACTTGGAACTTAGATCCTGCAACTGTGCACAATTCAAATGCGTCTAGGATAATTCAAGAAATGGTAGCTATTTTGAGAATTTGTGGTTCTCAATGAGTGAGTTTTGTTTACACACTTTTATAGCATTGAGCACTCTACTAAATGGTGAAAAGAATGAGAATCTTCAACAACCATAGATGCCACTGTTTAAAACTGTAACTATTATTTCATTGTTTTTATTCTAATTACCAATGAATGACCTTTTGCTTTGTTTAAACAATAATGTATAAGATTTTTGGGTCTGCTACATATACTGAATAGATTGAGTTGTATTATCTGCTGAATAGTTGTCATAGCTTTCAGCTTCCATTCTTTGTCAGTCTGCTGACAAAAATGTTGTTATTACGTGTGATGCTCATGGTTAAACTGCTTTTCTTCTCTCAGGTTGGTATAATAATGTATCTTCCTACAATGGATGCTCGCCAGAGAAAGGAAATAACGGAAGAATTTTTCCACTACAGGCATCTGACACAATCACAGTTGTGGGATAAATATTCTGCTTATGAACATTGGGCCAAGATTGAGGTACAGATTACATCTTCTTGAGTTTTTTGTTTTAAC